CTCATATCCATTCCCCCACTCACTCCATTGTGGCTCCCTGAAATCTCTGAAGTAGTAGAATTCTCAGATGACATGGTCAAACAGATAATCAGTCCCAAACACCGGACTTAGGACCCCTCCTTACTCTACAAAACAATGCTCCACTCAGTCCACACCCACACACTTGGATTTAAAACCAGTCTGAGCACAAACAGTACCAAATTCATGACAAAACAGAGGTAATATTCGGCAGATTTCAGACCTGTACAGTTTTACCAGTCCCAACCTACCAGAATTCCAGAATGTCTAAAAGCCATTAATCAGCAGGAGAGATCCTTATCACTTATAATCAAATCAAATTATTGAAATGACAGGTCATCCTTGACCTACAGTCGTCTTAACACATGAACAGGATCACACGATCCAAAAAAACAGGGGTATACAGATCTGACAGCATTCAGCAGCCCAGATTCATTTGGTTTTTCACTCGGTACACGACCAAGGAGGGTAAAGAAGAGAAAATGGAAGAACTGTACCAGTTGTAGAGCTGTTTTTCTCAGTCCAGATTCAGATTTCTGTTCCGCCCAGGTTCAGCAAATCTGTTCGATCTGTTCTCTTAGTAAAGGTTGTTCGATCTGCTCTCTTTAATCAGTATTCCCGCTCTGATACCATCTTGACAGTATGGCCGGCCAGAAATAAGGGGAAGAGAAGAGAAGAGAGAAGAGAGAAGAGAGAAGGGATTTGCAATGTAACAGTGCTGGCGGCGCCAGCCTTTATTATAATATATATAGGGTGGCAAAAATAACAAGAGAAAAGACCCTTGTGCCCCTGAGTACAATAACAGACATAACAGAAATGAAAAAACGAAATAAGAGAAACACTTTAACTAGCCAAACAGACCCTAACATCAACAACTAAATTATTTTAACATGTGCCTTTTGTGAAGTCAAAAGATCAACTTGCTAATTGTCTTACCAAGGGTCTCCACAAGCTGAAGCTAGATAGAAACCTAGGCAAGCTAGGCATGATAGATATCTATGCTCAACTTGAGGAGTGTTGAGGCTATGTATTGTGGCCAGGGGCATTATTGTCTTTCTATTTTATTGTATTTGGGCGCCCATTCAGGGGTATGGATGTAATTTTCGTTATTAAGTTAAAAGGGAACTTTCTGGGTGTGAACTGTAACACACCCTATTCTCCTGAAACTTTCTTCTTCTTCTTCTTCTTCTTCGGAAGGTCTTTTCTTTGGTGAATTTTTGATGGTTTTGTAGTTTGGTTCTTCTGGCAATTTGTTGTATTAGGGGAGGATTATTCATGTGTCATCAAGGTTTTGATGCTATTAGGATGATGGGTTTCTGTTTTGGGTGTCTTGTATTGTTGATTTTGGGAAGCTGGTATCTTTGGACCTTAGAGGAGGTTAGTAGTATTTGGGTTTGTTTGTTTTCTCTTGTTGGATGCTATCTTATCACCTTGTTATATCCTTTTTTAATTCAATGAATTTTCTTTTTTATTTGTTTCCAATAAAAAGGTAAAACAATTCAATCTCTAATCTCTGAAAGGGGGGCAGGCTCACCTTTGTTAAAGCATTCCTTGCCAATCTGCCTATTTATTACCTTTCTGTGTTCTAGATCCCAATAAAAGTAAATAAAAAAGAAAAAAAAAAACAGATTGAGAAGATTCAATATGATTCCTTTGGGAAGGTGGTGGTGAGAAGGGTTGTCATTTGGTGAGTTGGGATTAAGTGAGTAAATCCAAGGAGTTTAGTGGTTTGGGTCTTGGTCGCATTAAAAAAAGGAATATTTCCCTTTCTTGGCAAGTGGTTGTGGAGGTTCCCTCTAGAAGCTAATGCCCTAATGATTGTAGTCATCAATAGCAAGTATGAGAAGGAGGCTAATGATTGGATAGCAAGACTCCTTGAATCAGGTAAAAGCAACCAATCCCTGGAAAGTGATAACTTATATCTTTAACACCTTTTTTCCATTCATTAGATACAGAGTCGGCAATTGGAATAGAATAAAGCTTTGGACTGATTTAGGGTGGGGTGAGTCTACTTTGGCAGCTTCATTCCCTAGGATTTTCAACCTTTCCCTCAACGAAGAAGCCACTATCTTGGCCTATGTTTCCTCTCCTTCCCAAGGAAACAATCAAACAACTGGAACCCGTACCTTAGAAGGCCCTTAAGGGATGTGGAAATTGCTGAGGTGACTAACCTCCTCCAATCCTCAAGGGAGGTCTTATTTCACCTTTGACACCCAACCAACGTGTTTGGAACCTTCACCTTACTGGTAATTTCTCAACCAAGTCCTTTCTTTAAGGTATTGATTACTGAAGAGCTTAACTCCCACTTTCCTGCAAAGAAGATTTGGTTCTCTCACATTCCCCCTGGAGTTTGTTTGTGTTTGGGAAGCTTGCTTTGAAGAGAATCAACACTTTAGACCTAATACAAAATAAGAATGGTGGCTAACTGTATTTTTTGCTCTATACTTGTATTCTGTGCCTCTGGACTGGAGAATTTGTAGATCATATATTAATACGCTGTTAGGAAACACAAAATTTGGAATCATTTGTTAAACCTCTTTGGTTGTAGCTGGGTTGCTCCAGGGACTATCTTTGGCAATGGCAAGGTAGGGGGCTCAGTAGAAGAGGACAACTTCATTGGACAACAGTGACCCATGCTGTTACATGGGGTGTTTGGGATGAAAGAAACAACCAAATTTTTTATAACAAGGCTAGATTGGTTGAAGAGCTGATTTCACATAACTCACCTTTGCAACATGTTGAGTGTGAATTCTGGGTGGTTCAAAGAGATCTCTATGACTGACTTGTAGAGAAATGTATCTGTCTTTACTCTTCTCATAAAAGTCTGTCCCTCCCACTGGGGCCGCCTCCACATCAGGAGGGGGTTGTGAAGCTAAATTGTGATTGCTTTGCTAAATCTTTACTATTTTATAGTCTTGTGTTTGAAATATATAAAGTAATAGATTTAAGATGCTATTGATTTCTAGATATGATGATTTGTCATGTTTTAGGAGGAAAATCAATATTGTTAGTAAAAAGTAGCATTAATTTTCCAATTTGTATGCATGTTGATTGGCATATAAAACTAGGGAGTTCACCAATAATTTAGTTTTCTTCCCTCGTAATCCTTGTGTCTAGGTGATAGTGTCTCACAATCACCTTTATACCTTGACAATTATGTAAAGAAGGTATATTATTGAACTTTAATTGTCAATTCTTCTCAGTGTTGCCTTCCATTACTTAGCAATGCACCTTTTGTGCAAAGTATTTCAATCCATGCTAATCACCTTGCCATAGCTTAATCATGATCCTCCAATTACTATTTGGTAGAACAATTTGTTTAGATATGAATTTTGTTTTTTCAACTTGTACTTTATGCAGGTCTGACTTTGGAGCCAATTGGTATTCTAATGGAAAGAGCAGAACAAGAGGCTTTCACAAAGGTATACAGTTCACGTAAATCTAAGAAACATGTTGAGAACCATCTAAAATATGCATGCAAGGAGATAAAAGTTTAGAAAATTACACTCCAATTCATCTTTGAGAGACACTTCCCACAATATTCCAAACCGCTGTCCAAACTTTTGTTGTTGGTCCTTGCTTAATCACAAATACTGGTTACACCCCTGAAACAATTTCTATATTTATTTTTCTCCTGATCAGGAAATAAAAGTTTCTTTCTTGTTGATTTATATGTTCCATTGTCCAAGGAGATTTGATCAAAATCTTAGTCACTCATCTCATCAGTAAGATCCAACTAATCTTCTCCTTTTGTATGAAGTGGAGGTAGGCAAGTATTAGAACTTGGAAGAAGGTAATAGGAAATTATGTCTTATACAAATACTCTAGAAGGGAATGCATTTGTTGGTGATTTATTCCTTGATGTAAATAAATGGGATGGGTAAGGACCTAAGGGGCCTTGAATGAAGCTCTAGAAGGACAGAAGATGGAATGCTTAGGAATTGATAGGGAGTCTATGAAGATGAGGAAAGAAGAGGTTAGGGAAGGGGTTTTAGGTTTGTAGCACTGAGGATCTAGAAATGAGAGGTTATAATTTCAGGGAAGTTAAAAATTTACTAGAATGGAGTTTGAGAGATGTAGCATTTGAAAGATAAACAGTAGAAGAGGGAGAGTGTGGGGAAGAAAGGGACTGTCTCATCGTCAAGATGAGTTTATTATTGCCCAGGTGCCTTTTGTATTTCGATGATGGTTCTGCAAGGCTGTTGGATGGTACTCAGTGAAGGCTTCTTGGTTGGTGACATGTGGTTTGTTGAGGAAAGTTGCATTTTCTTACCATTAGTCCATTTGTTTTTCTTTTTGGTCTTTGAGTGGTGGAACTTAGGGTTTAACTTCGGCATTTTCTTTTTGGGGTTTTAGGTGCTTTGTTGCTTTGCCCTAAGCAGTCTTGTTTTTAGGAGGTGGTTCCCTTGGTTGTTTTTGTTTTGCTTTCTTCCGGTCCCTTTCTTTATATTGCTTTTCTCCTTTCTCTTTAATATTTCTATCTATAAAAAACAAAAAGAACAAATTCAAATAGGTTTTATGAGGTAATATATGGAGCCAAATTAGTAAAGTAATATACTCAACAATAGAAGCTTCAAATTTCAGTCCACTAAAGTCTGAATGATGCGATGAATTAACAAAAGTTTACAGTGAAAAAATCATGAGTTATCCCTTCAAAAGCATCAACAGTTGATCCTTTATTGAGGAAAAAATTGCAAGTACAAAATACATTAACCTTTTTAAGCTTTGCCTGTTTTACTTCTTGGAACTGAATATTGGTCAAATTTCAATTTGTTACATTAATATATGATTAAAAGATCAGTGTTGTCAATGTGGTGAAAGTGATGACTAGTCATTTTGTCTTCTTTGGTTGATTCAATAGTCAGTGCCTAGGCACTGATTTTTCAATAAAAAAAGATATGTTCTAAATTTAATGTGGAGATGTCTTAGAGTAGCCACCTTGTGGACAATCTGGGAAGAAAGGAATGCAAGGGTATTTAAGGAGGAGGAAAGAAGCACTCTAGCTGTTGAGGACTGTATCTTAATTAGGGCCATTCATTGGTTAAGAACTATGGACTTATTTCATACATTCTCCTTTGATGATTTTTGGGGAAACTGGATAGCGGTGGCTAACAGCCATGCAAGGAAGGACAGGAAATCTGTAGTGTGGATGCCTCCACCTGAAGGATGGGTAAAGCTGAATTTTGATGGAAGCAGCCAAGGAAACCCAGGCCCATCGGGGATAGGAGGGGTGCTGAGGGATAATGAAAGCAGAATATTGGCATTGTTTTCAGGCCCTGTGGGAATAAGAGACTCCAATAGAGCATAGATGTTAGCGGTGGTACAAGGCACTGAGATTGCAGAACAATTAGGAGTTCAGCACTTGGTAGTTGAAGGGGACTCTGAGATTGTTGTGGGATGGCTGACAGAACGAGCTTCAGCTATGTGGCGACATAGAGATATGTTAAGGAAAGTCAACTGGACCACAAGAAACATGACTGTTACCTTTCTTTGGGTGGGAAGATCAGCAAATTCCTTAGTGGATGGGTTAGCTAAGCAAGGGGCTTCAAGAGAACATTTATTTTGGGCTGCTCTGTAATTTTGGTTCTGGTTAATTCTGGTCAATTCTGTTTTAACTTGATGTAATACTTGTTAGAAGAGGTAACAACTCATGCCTCCTCTTGGGTCTCTTGTATTTCTTCATATTTCTGATTTAATAAATTATATTCATTCATCAAAAAAAAATTAAGATATTGATGCAATCTCATAAACAAGTTAATATAGACTACAATGGTGCAAGAAAAAGAATGATATTGGGCATTTAGTTTACAGCCTTTGTTTTGCAAACAAAGGAAAAAGCTAGGCTGGATAGGGAATCACAACCTTTGTTTTCCAAAGAAAGAGTACAACTTTGGCTATGTTTTTTATTTGTGGCAACTCCATGCTAACATGCCACTGATTGGAAGAAAACTTAAAAAGAACTCCTTTGCTGCCTTGTTTTGTTTTATGCTTTTTTCTATTTTATATATCATCCTCCAATCATGTTCCAACACAAATAATTTAGAGTATAAAACAAACACATAAAGCTTTAAAATGACTTTGTGGTTGACTAGTAAACGTAGTTGACACTTAGTCATCCTAAGTGACTGCATCATCAACCAACTAGTTAGTGATGCAGCTCTCTGGCCCTCAACTGACTAGTTGGTTGACTAGTTGATACATTCATAAAACTGTAAAGGATTATTTGATGGTAAACTGTAAACAGCATTTTGAAGTTTATATTTGAAAGCTGCACAGGGAGTAGGTACCTTTACTTATGTGTATTAGACATTCCCTAATCGATCATGGTTGTGGTGTTGAAGGCTTTGCAAGTAAGCTCTGCATCTCCTGGTGATTCTATCCTTCCTGAAATGCCAGTCGTTACTGAACAACTTTGGGTGGATAAATATGCTCCAAATTCGTTTACTGAGCTTCTAAGTGATGAACAGACAAATCGTGAGGTACATGGATTTCTTGACAATTTGCAATGCTATGCTGAAACTCCTTTCAAGTAAAAATTTAGGGGCTTCTTTATTTTTTGGAGTTATCTAATAATGCTATTTGTTTGTTTGGGCTTCAATAGTTCATGGTACATTGTTTCTGTCTTCTAGGTCCTCCTATGGTTGAAGCAATGGGATTCCTGTGTATTTGGATCTGAAATTAGGAGCACTACAGATGATGTATTGTCTGCTTTGAGAAGACACTCTTCACGTACTCAACAAAAAAAACCCTCTAACATGGTTCCTAATGGAAAGAATAAAGGATTCCATTTGAGCAATAGAACATTTAAACATTTGAACCATTTGGAGGGAGAAAATACCAATTTAGAGGACATCCGGGAATTCTGGAACAAGAAGTCAAGGTTTAATGGTCCACCAGAGCAGAAGGTGAGCTGTGTGAATTATTTATGTTGAACAGAAATCAATGAATTTCAGTTCATTTTCATTTTACTGCAACAGAAACTGATGCATATGGTTGGTTAAGCCATTAGTCCAATATATAGTGTTTCTATGTTCTGAACTTGTTTAACCGTTTGGATGTTGTCTGATATTAATAATTGCAAGCTTCTCTATCCCATGGTTATTAACTGAACATGTTCCTTTTTGCAGGTTCTTTTACTTTGTGGTCCCCCAGGTCTTGGAAAGACAACACTTGCACATGTAGCTGCTAAACACTGTGGCTACCGTGTTGTAGAGGTGTCAGATCTTTCTTTCTATCCATTTTTTCTTCTTGCATCTGTATAACTATTTTATTTCATGGTATTGTATTTTTTTGTCATTGTCTTTTTGTTGCTTCTCAATGTCATGATTGATTCATTAGAAGGTAAAATTTTATCACACCAAAATTCTCTTGGTGGACCAATGTCCAGGAGACAATCTCATGGACAGGTATATATCATGCTTTGTACATCAACTGTGACGTGTTTGTGGTTCAGGTGGTACTGTTTATAACCTAAGTATAGCTTGGCCGGAGGCATGAAGTATGAGATTGGGCTATGCTCGGACCTGGCACCAGTCCTTGCCCAGCTTTAGCTTGAAGTTTCAGTTTGGGCCTTGGGCTGGACTGATCTTGATGTAGGGTTGATAATAGACCTTCCCACTAACACTTGGTGGGTGCTGAAAATAGAAGAATGTTGTTAAAAGAAGGGAAAAGGTGAAGTTTAAAGGTGTTTATGTATGGGAGAAAACCAATTTCCAATGCAGCCTTTAGCAGCACAAAGTGAAATCATCGTTCATCCCTTCCCAGTATGGCCCAACCAGATTCTCATCCTTAGTCTGTTTAATATGTATATATATGTTTGCTGTTTTCTTCATTTTTTCCGTTGAGTGGCTTAATATCTTTTATCCATTCCAAAAAAAAGGCTTTGGAGAACTCATCATTTTTTTTTTGCACAGATTAATGCTAGTGATGATCGGTCATCATCAACAATTGAAGCAAAAATCCTTGATGTAGTTCAGATGAATTCTGTCATAGCTGATTCAAAACCCAAGTGCTTGGTGGGTTTCATTTTCAATGTTCCATGATAAATTTGTCTCTAGAATGAGTAATGATTTTATTATATTATTACAGGTAATTGATGAAATAGATGGAGCTCTTGGTGAAGGAAAGGGTGCTGTTGAGGTTATTCTAAAGATGGTAAGCGATATGCTTTCTTAAATGATGAATATTGTTTTGTTGGATGGTACTAGGTGCATATACTAAGTAGTCTTGGTAGTAAATGCTTTTATTTTATTCCACACACACACACACCATCAAAGAGGTAACGTATTGGTTGGCAAAAGAAGAAAAAGGCGGAAGAGTAAAGACAATTGCAGAAACAAACTAGGGGTGTGAAATAGAATTTTTTTTTTTGATAAATGATTAGTTCAAGGGTGAGGTCAGTACAAACAACCATTAGAGAGGTGTGAGTTGCAACTTCTCCCATAACAAAGGTAAAAACAAATTAAACAAGAAAGCCAATTATAACTGAGCTCAGTACAACATTTCCCTATTAGTCCCTTGTTTGGCACTTGAATTTCTTGATTTCATCTCTATACCACCAAGTGACAGAGTTCGGATCTTGCAGCCACCTTACCACCACCTTGGAATCTCCTTCAATTATTAACTTCTCCACACTTAGCTGCTTTTAATCTGGATTCCTTGTAGTGTAGCAAGCAGTTCAGCCCTTGTAGAAATTACCTTCCACACCAGGCCTGAGTAAAGTGCAAAAATAAGACCATCCTTGTCTCTCACCAACCCTCCTATTTCAGAGGGGCCTGGGTTTCCTTGACTACTGTCAAAGTTCAACTTCAAATAAGTTTCTAGCAGTGGTGTCCAGACTATGCTTGCTCTATCGCAGCTCAGTTTCTCTAAATATCATTAAAAGAAAACTGATGAAAGTAGTCCAAGGTTTTTCACCATGTATTTTTCTGGTCAACGCACACTCCTTGAGTTCTTGTAAACTTTTTTCCTTCTCATGAAAAATTCATACATTTCTGTCTTCCCAAATAGACCAAATCAGTTCAGCCCTTGTACAGGTCAAATAGTAGGCTTATCTCTGAGGGCAAATTCCACCTGCACCTAAACAGAGCAAAACCAATCCCATAATTCTGCAGCATCAAGACAAGAAATAAATAAGTGTTAATAATCTTCACCATTAGATTTGCAAAGAGTACAGCAGTGCAGGGATAAACACAGAGAGGGTCTTCTCTTTTGCAAGTTGTCCAATGTGTTTACCCTTCCCATAGAACACTTCCCAGCAAAAAGCAATAACTTTAGGGGACAGGCCTGCACCAAACTTCCTTGAAGGGAAATACGTGAGCCTTAGAGGATTGACAAAGGGACTTGAGGAAGGAAGCACACAAAAAAGAGCCCTTAGGATGAGGAGACCAAACCCTTTTATTTGAAGAAAGGGGATCCAAGTAAACATTAGAAAGTGAATTCAAGAACCCATTTATGGCATCAATCTCCTCCCTTAACCCTCTACGGAAACCAAAATCCCAATTCATCCCCAATGGAGTAACAAGAGGTGTAAGGGCTTTTGAGACAACCTACTTTTTAATAAAGGGAAACAGAGTACAAAAGAGGGGAAGAGATCCCTAAGAGCAGAGTTACCAACCCAAACATCCTCCTAGAAATAAACAAAGTTTCTAGAACACACATCATACCTAACAAACCTAAGAAACTGAGGAAGCAAGCCATGGATTTCCTTTCAAGGAGTTGCCAAAGTAGCCTAATGAGACACACTAGCATCCCATCCATTTTTAGTTAACCATGAATCAGTGATTTAAAAGGCGTGCGTAGGCACACAGGCGAGGTGCATTTTAGGGTATGCGCCTCACCAAGGTCCTAGGCGCAACCCTTTCAAAAGGTGCATGACTTATGTGCCTTGCGCCTCAGCCCAGGCATGCGTCCTTTTAGAATTTTACGCTTTTTGCTTTTTTTTTTTAACCTAGCGGCTATGCCAAGGCCTCCACCCCTGGACCCCCGACCACGCCCCTCGAGGCAAACCCTAACATGGACTTGTTTGGACTTGCCTCAAGGGGTGTAGTACAAAGGCAGCTTATAGAATTAGGAGTGCAATATGTTTTACATCACTTTAACTACTTGAAGTAATGCAATTGAAGAAAGAAAAGAGATTATGGGTTTTACATGCTTGAAAATGCTTTATATGTTTGATTTTATTTTTAAATTTTCATTTAAAACTCTTTACATGTTATGTTTATGTATTTTAATTTTAGATAATAGGTTTTATAAAACATTTATTTTAAAATTTAAGTTTATATTTTTTATTAATATTATGTTTAATATATATATTTTTTATATTTTGCATTTTTTGAATTTTTTTTTGGATTTTTTTGAATTTTCTGACATTTGTTTTTTAGCATTTTTTTTTGTATTTTTGTGCCTTGTGCCTTAGGTGCAAATTGGCCCTTGCGCTTTTAAAACACTACCATGAATACTTGGGACCACCTCATGCCACAATCTCTCCCTTTCTAAAGCCCATCTCTACAACCACTGTCCTAACAAGGCTGCATTCTTTTGGACCACATTCCCTATCCCCAAGCCACCCTCCTTACTCTTGCAAACAATCCCCCACTTGATTAGATGATCTTTTTTACTTCTCCCAACTCCCACAAAAAATCCCTCCTGACTTTCTCTAGCTTCTTTGCCTCCCTAGGAGGGATCCTAAAGACAGAAAGGAAATAAATAGGCAAATTAGCAAGAATGGCTCTTATCAATGTAATTCTACCTCCCAAAGAGATATAATTCTTTTTCCAAGCAGCCAGTCTCTTTTTAGTCTTCTCAAGATCGGGTTCCAAAATCTGCTCTCTTAGGGTTAGCTCCTAGGGGAAGACCTAAGTAAGTCAAAGGCCAAGAGGTGTAGAGCATTCTAGAGTCTAGACAATCCACTAAAGATTCTAAAATCCTTTCCTCCAAATTAACACATGCAATGCAACTCTTCTCAAGATTGATTTTCAGAAGAGATCCTCTCAAAAAACCTAATTAACTCCTTTAGGTTCCTAGCCTTCTTAATGTCTCCCTCTTCACAGAAGATTGTAGTATCATCTACAAATTGAAGATGGGCAACTAGAATCTCATTTTTTCTAACTTTCCAACCTCTTATCAACTCTTCCCCATCAGCTTTTGAAATTAACCTTCTAAATACATCTGTTACAAGAGTGAATAGGAAAGGTGATAAGGGATCACCTTGTCATAATCCTTTACAAGCTGGGAAAAAGTCCCGACCATTCCATTGACCAAGATAGAGTAATGACAAGAGCTGATACAACAATTCATCCAATTACATCATCTCCTTACAAAGCCATAGTTACTCAGCACCTCTAGAAGGAAAGACCAAACCACCAAGTCATAGGCTTTCTCAAGGTCCAATTTATACACAAAACCTTCTTGCCTTGATCTTTTCATCTCTTCTACACATTTAAGGGGGGTAAAGTGGAAGGGGGTTAAATTTCAAAAGAAAGTACAAAGGCTTAGGTCCAAAATAACAGAGTGAAACAAGGATCATTTTGGGAGGTTAGAACAATAAAAGCTTAGTTTGAGTTCCTGGATTGAGGAATTAGATGAGAAAGGGCACCAAGGGAGATCTATCAAAAAAAGAGCACCAAGGGAACCATAATGAACAAGAGAGACAATTGAGGTGGAACTTGAGGAAGGAGCTAGAACAAAATCTTCTTAGAGAGGAGATTGGTTGGAGGCAAAAGTCAAGACATAAGTGGATTAAGGAGGGAGATGGAAACATTAAATTTTTCCACGGATTGGCCAATGGTAGAAAAAAGGAATTTGGTGACTAAGATGGAAATGAATGGGGAGGTGTTCGAGATTCAAGATGAGATTTCAAGAATCCTTGTGGATCACTTTAAATCAATCTACAAAAGGCCTTTGAGTTGTGTTTTTGGTGTTTAGTTTTCTTCTCTTGGGTGATGTCTTATCACCTTCCTAATGTACTCTCTTTTTTCTTTAATGAAGTTCCTTTTCTTTGATTATCTTAAAGAATGGGAGTGATTGGAGAAGGTTTTAGCAAAAAGAAAAAAATGGCCAGAATAGGAAAATTTCAGGTTTTGATGAAATTTCAAAGGTAACTTAACCAGTTTTTCAGTCCTCTGGGGATGTTGAATGAATACCTTTCAATGAAGAACTTATGGATGGATAGCCTAATGACCTCTTGAAAGGTTAAAGAGAAAATAATTCATGACAAAAGAGATTAAAGGGAAAGTAGAGAGAGAAAACTGAGAATCACTGAACAGGGTACTAGGAATGTAGAATCACCCTAAGGTGTGGGAATGACTCACCACAAGCATAATATGCAGAAAACTGTGCTGTCATGGGGCAGAGTGTTGGGCAGTCAAGCAAGGACATGCCCAAAAATGAGTGTTATGGAAATATATATATGCTGAGATGGATGAGTGGTAAAACTAGAAAGGGTAGGATCAGAAAAGAAGCCATTCGAAGGAACCGTAGCTCCAGTATGTGATAAAATGAGTGGAAGTAGACTAAGATGGTTTGGTCACATGCATAGAAGACCATTGATAGAACCTGTGAGGAGTGATCTGTTGCAAGTTGGAGGGCCAGAAGGGCTAGGGGTGGACCAAAAGGATATGGGCCAATGTAGCAAGAAATGATTTAAATGCTCATAATTTAACAAATTGATCAAAAACGTTCTCATAATTTAACAATGGATATGGTAACAAACAGAATAGAATGGCAAAACAGGGTTCATGTAGCCTACCCAATATAGTTGGGATAAGGCTTAGATGATGATGACATGCAGAAAAAACATCCAAATAGCACTCCAATATCTGTCTCCATGTTTTTGACTCTACACATATACATGCATATAGATGCTATTGGGGTGGCCAATCCTAGAACTAGGAAACTAAAACTTACATAATTGCCACTGTCCTTAGAAAATTGAATTACTGTTAACTACTTACCCACTGGTTCTGAAACTTTAAAATATAACTAAAAAAACCTACTTAAGGCAGGATTGCACATACATCTAAAATGACAAAAAATACATAAAAATGCAGAAAAYTCCATATTTGGCTTGTTGTCTCCTGCATCAACTCTTTGGTAGACCTTCCAACCTAATGTAGGCAGAGTGGATTTGTGTGTAGCATTAAATGGGGTTATTG